TTTCTTTATAATCCCATTATAAAATACAATTAGTTAATCTCGTTTGATCTTAAACCCGTGAAAATAAATTGACAATACATTGACCAAATTGTTATATTTATTTATAGAAAACTTCAGTCTGATATAATAAAGCCAACTAAATACCTGTATTTTGCATCGCTATATAATCATTGTAGTGTTGACGGACATAGGCAAGAATCTTTTTCATATCTGCCATAAGTACGTTTTGTCGCTCATGGATCTTTTTAATAAATATCGTTTTTACAAGAATTTATTTTACCAAATATTTTTGTAAATCGCTATTAATCTTATTGAATTGATTTGATAATTCAGTGTATACATAAGCAAAATTATTATACTGTTCTCCGACGTTTGTAGCTGGTTGGACATGTTCTTCAGTGTTTTCTTTATTATAAATATAATTGTTTTTATAGTGTTTTTCACGATCGGTTTTAAAATTGAAATTTTTCATATTTTCTGCCAAAAATAAACCGTTTCTTGAAAATTTTAAAGACCGAAAACCAGATATTTATGAAAATGAGTGTTTTTTGACCAAAACTCAAAACCAAAAACTGAGGGTATCGGTTAATAACCGGTAGTGAACAACTCTATTTTTTATAATAAAATTATATTTTTATAAATTCATATAAAAATAAATAATACCTATTGGCCTAATTGTATCAGCATATGGTGCTGAGCCGCCAACTATATAAAGCATAGGACGAATTTCATTGTTTAATTGTGTAAAAGCCTAAGAAAATGTTTATAATTTTTTATTTCGCTACAATAAACTTACATCTAGTTCCACTGGTTGCTGCGATCCTTCGCCTAGATGCACCCCTCCTGATTGCGATCCTGAACCTTCTCCTGGATGCATTCCAAATAATAATGGAAAATGTTTATAAAAGCAAAAGTTTAAAAGAATTAAATTGCAAATTTTCATCTTTAAATTAAATTAAAAAATCTTGATTTTTTATGTTTAAGTTTTCAGAATTAAGTTTACAATATTATTTATTTAAAACATTTGGAAAGAGAATTAATTGCTGCTCGAATGTTTATTGGGGAATAAATCTCTCAATGTATTACAATTATGTAGATGGGCGCGCGCTCATCACTCATTTTTAATTTTTTACTCTATAATCAGATCGAAATTTCGAATTTTATATCTTAGAGCAAATAGACTGGACGCAATTGCAATTTAAAGTGCGGGATTTTGCTAGATGCGGGATTTATTCCGCGGGATCCCGTCCAGCAAAGATTTTTAAAAAGATTTTATCCCGCGGGATCCCGCAAAGCGATTTTGCCGGTCTCTAATTAAAACGGCCGGAGGTCGGATTCGGAGTGCAACTCTATTTAGTTGTAAATAAAAGTACATTATTTTAAAACGACACTTGCACTTTAGAAATTTAAAAATTGCTTTGAGTTAAAATATGCCGCCGACATTTAATCATGAGAGTGTTTGCCCTAAATAAATAATCACCTGCTTGTTTGCTTTAAAAATTTAAGAAGTTTCGAAATTTCGATTTATAAGGGTAAAATGAAAGATCGGGGACAAAAGAAGTTTTATTTTAAAAGAAGTCTTAAATATGTAGTTTAAATTTCTTTTCTACATAGTCTTACTTATAATTAAATATTGTTTTTAAATAGCAATTAGTGTATTTGACAAAATTACCGTGTTTTTTTCGAGATTTTCTCTATCGTTTCAGCTTTCTACCTGCTTCCGTTTTTTTAAATTAAAGATTATCCATTCTTGATACATGTTTGCCACATACAACTTGTTAAAGTCAATAGCCATAAATTCTATCACAATATTCTAAATTGTTCGATTTGTCCGATTTTCTACTCAAATTTTAAAAATAAATATTTTTTAAAGCTTTAAAGTGGATAAAAATTTTGCACTTTTATGTAAAATTTGTTTGGCCACAGGATTAGTAAGTTTTTTCAAAAAAAATTTTAGTGTAAGAATATTAAATAACCCTTGCAAAAACAATAAACTCAGCAAATGTTTTTATAAAAATAAATAAAGATTTATTTAAAAATAATTTTTTAGTAGTGGTATTAGGTATATTATTTTATTATATTATAAATTGTAAATATTTTAAAGAATTCTCAAAAAATGTTCAAACGGAGCCGAAAGAAATTTTCAAGCCATTCAATTTCAAGCCTTCAAATTAAAATTTTGATTGAAATTTAAAGTCAATTTATTACTTTCAATAAATTAATTGACTGCAAATCTACTATAAATCATATTTGTTCGTACGGGACTAACTAATTTATCGCAAAAGTATTCTAATTAACATCAAAAACAAATGCGTGAATTAAAAATATGTAAAATAAAAATACTGAAAATTGAAAACTAATACAAATTGTGCTAAAAAGGAAAGAAAATTATAGAGACTTTTATGGGGCTTGCTCCTTTTAAACTACGCTCTGGAATTTTTCACCAGCAATGTGCCACGAATGCCGGGCAGAAATTTTCGTGTTATTGTTTAAATAAGATTTTAAAAGTATAGAAAGATGACAGAATGTTAATTGAAAGAAATGAAAGAATAATTATGACAAAACTTTAAAAATAAACATTAAATATACTTAAAAATAATCGGAACTTTGAATCTACTCTCTCCTGAGAGGTTCTATTAGGAACGAAGGTAAAAAATCCCCAATTGACTTTTCAGAATTACAATTCTTATTTAAAGTTTAGATACTGACAATATATGTAGGAACTATTTCGCTAGGAACTATTCAAGTCTTGTCATAATTTTGTATGAGGCTAATCTACTTTTGTTTTTCAGTCAACACGATTTAACTAACATGTTCCTCACATCCTTGTAATCTTCTCGTTATCTTCCTTTCATTAAAATTTTAATTAATATAAATTTATCATTATATTCCCTACTTCAATTGCCTGAATCTGATGCACGATTCCCACCCCTACGTCTACTACGTCGACCTTGTACACGATGGCCTTGTACATGTTCCATTTGTCCACGATGGCCTTGTCCTTGTTGCCCATGTTCATGTTGCCCTTGTCCATGTTGTTCTTGTCCACTTGCATCTATATTAATTAATCTATAAAATATTCTTTTTCTTTTTATTTATCCCATTATAAAAATACAATTAGGTATTCTTGTTTTATCATAAACTCGTGAAAATAAACTGACATTACATTACCAAATAGTGTATTCATTTAGAGAGAACTTCAGTCGGATATCACTCGGGAATTATATTAAAATCGTTCAATTACCTGCATTTTGCTTATCTAGATAATCATTGTAGTGTCGGCGGACATAGGTGCGAACTTTTATCATATCTGCCATAAGTACATCTTGACGTTCACAGATCTTTTGAATATCGTTATTATAAGATGCTATGATTTGATTAATTAGTTGTTCATTGTGAGGATGGTCCTATCATAATAAATTAAAATTATGCAGAAAAGTTTAATAGTATAATTTCATTTCCCATTTATTTTCTCGGTTTTTTTTATCAAAAACTACATACATATTTGCTTTTTCCGAATAATATTTTTATTAGCAAATAAAAATAAATTTAAAATAAAAAAATATTTTTACCACATAATGACTGTGTTGAAAAGAGACTTGTAGTTCTTCATTAACTATATCGATATCTTTTGATAAGTTATTGTATACAAGAGCTAAATTAACATATTGTTCTCTAACATTTGTCCCTGGTTGGACATGTTCATTGTTTTCTTTAAAATGAATGATTTTTCTAGTTAAAAATTATTTCTTATAAATTTAAACAAAAATAAATATTACGTAACGGCTTAGCTAAATCCGAGTAAGGGTATGCGTCGCCAACTTTTTCAAGCATAGGACGAATTTCATTGTCTAATTGAGTAAAAGCCTGTTAAAAATGTTTGTGTTATTATCTAGTTAAAATAATAGTAAAAACTAAATCCTCAGGTTGTTGCGATCCTGAACCTTCTCCTGGATGCATTCCGCCTGGTTGCGATCCTGAAGGACCTTCTCCTGGATACATCCCAAATAATAATGGAAACAATTGAAGAAAATAAAAATTTAAAAGAATTAAATTGTAAATTTTCATCTCTAAAGTAAATAAATACTAAAATTTAAATATTACTTCTTCCTCATATTTTTGGGGACCAGTAATCTCCACATTTACCTTATTCAGCAATTTTGCCTTAAAATCCCCTTTTTCAAAAAATGAATGAATTTGGGATTTTACACCGGATTATTACAGAAAATACGTCTGGCTCCATTCCAGCTCTAGGTATATATCAAGGATGGATAATCCTCAATTTAGAAAGCTGAAGCAGGTAGAAAGCTGAAACGGTAGAGGAAGCAGTAGAAATCTCAATGTAAAAAACACAGTAATATTGTCCAATACACTAATTGCTATTTAAAAACAATATTTAATTATAAGTAAGACTATGTAAAAAATAAATTTTAACTATTTAAGACTTCATTTAAAGCAAACACTGATCTTTCACTTTACCCCTATAAATCGAAATTTCGAAACTTCTTAAATTTTTAAAGCAAGCAGTCAGGTAATTAATTATTAAGGGCAAATACTCTCATGATTAAATGTCGGCGGCATATTTTAACTCAAAGCAATTTTTAAATTTCTAAAGTGCAAGTGTCGTTTTAAAATAATGTACTTTTATTTACAACTACATAGAGTTGAAATCCAAATCCGACCTCCGGCCGTTTTAATTAGAGATCGGCAGAATCGCTTTTGCGGGATCCCGCGGGATAAAATCATTTTAAAAATCTTTGCGGGACGGGATCCCGTGGGATAAATCCCGCATCTAGCAAAATCCCGCACTTTAAATTTGCGGGATCCCGCGCCGGGTTGCGGGATTTTTCAAAAATCGTTGAACTTTTAATTGCTCAGACAGTATGCCAATTTAAATTTAAACTCGCGCTGAAACGGCCAAACTTAAAAATTTTCCCGTTCAGTTTCATTTTAATTTTTTTAAATTCTTGAATTCAAAAAAATTTTCTTTTTTAAGTATCATGACCTCTTCTAAAAATAATTCTTCTTCAACCGATTCTTTTGATGTCTTAGAAAATGAATTTGACAAAGCTTTTGTTGACTTGGATGTTTTGATTGGGGAAATTGAACAGGAAAACGTGAGAGACACTTTTTAGGAGTAAAAAATAATTTCCTTTTTTTCTATTACTAGTCTGAATTATCTTTTGAATGTCGCCGCCGTTTAACGCGTATTAGCGGTATTTTTGTTCAATTTGTTCATAAAGTTGCGATTATGAATCAGCGGAATTGTGAGCTTGAGGTAAGTTGAAAATTGGTTGAGACAGGCAGACCTCGCTTTTGGGTGCCTCCAGAGCCCATTAATATAAGAACTCGGTCAAGTAACCCTGTTTGCTCGACCAGGGTTAAGTAGCCATTGTTAGGGGACCATAAGGTAATTGTTAGCCAGTAGAAGAATAAACGTCGGGGTTTAGCAGCGTGTAGGTCAGTAGAGGTCGATCGGAAATGACGAAGGTGCCGGAAATCGGAAACTGTCTGAAATCGGAACTGTTGGAATTTGGAAAGAAAATAACGTCGGAAATCGGAATTCCGATCGACCTCATAGTTAGCCTTACCACCTTCATATACTGCCAGTATAGCCGTCGGTTAGTGGTGAGTTAACCGGCAACCATGTTCCTATACCACGTCCTCTTTTCGACGGTTTCCTCCGATTTTCGAGAATTTTGGAGATTTCCGATTTCCGAGAATTTTTAAAGAATATTTCCGACTAAAGATTGTCCAAATTTACAAAATTTTCGTCTGGGGCGCAAAAATGGAATCGTCATTTCCCATAATTAGATACTTCCTTGTATGGTATGAGTTAATTAGCCACTAGATCGGAGCGGCTGTTAAGCGATATCCTCAATTTAAAATGCCCCTCCGCCCCTCACAGACTAAGTACTGTACTTTCTGTCCTAAGGGGCTAGGTATCTAAAAGGGAGTCTGCTAGCAACACAGGTCGATAGGACTATCTAAATTTCCTCCTTTTTCTAAAGAAAGAACTTCAAAATTCCAACAATAAATTAATTGGATTATTAGCCACAAATTCATTATTAGAAGAACAGTCAGAACAACTTCTTTTGCGTGTTCATTCACTTTCATGTCAACTTTACTCAAAAACAGCTCCACACGAATCAGAAATTATTAAAAAGAAATTGGTTGGAAAATTAAAAATTTTTTTGAAAAATTTTTTTTAATTTAAAAAAAGGATAAAGAAATGAGAATGTTTAACACAAAAAATTTACCAATTACAAAATCACAAGCTGAAATTTCTTTATTAAAAGAAGAAAATCTTAAATTAAAAAGTCTTCTAAATTCGGTTCATTCCGAAATTTATGGGGCTCGTTTAGCTGCTAAATATTTGGATAAAGAATTGGCTGGACGGTGGGAAATTTTATTTTAAAATATTTTTATTAAAAAATTAAAGTTGATTTTTGGGACTTTTAAGGGAAAAAAATTTTTTTGAAAAAAAACTTGCGGACAAATTTTTGCGGACAAATTTTGCGGACTTTTTTTCTTTTGCGGATATTTTAAGAATAAATATTTATTTCATATAGCCGATACCTTCTTTTAGTTTTCTAAACATGTTTTAGGATATTATTTAAGAATTAGAGGTTTAATAGACAAATTACACGATAACCTTCCTCTCGTGGCGCGAACTTTGCGGACCCGAAATTTGCGGAACGAAAGTTGCGGACCCGAAAGTTGCGGACCCGAAGGTTGCGGACACGAAGTTTGCGGACCTGATTTTTGCGGAACCAAGATTTTAGGACCGACACTTGAGTAAAAAGGAAAAATTAAATATTTTATTTTTCGATGATTCCGGCAGAGTTTACCATGATCCGTACCAGACTCAAAATTTTTTCTCGATTTTTCAAAATTTTATCAATTTATTATCTTAAAATTATTTCATAATTTAAATAATCGAGAAAATTCCTTAAGGAAGTCATTTATATGGCCATCTCATAAGGTCATGATGCCTAAATTCATCCTAATTAACGCCGCAGACTAAAATTTTTGAGATTTCCGAGATTCAGTAGACTCTATTGTCGGTCCGCAAATTTTTGGTCCGCAAATCTCAGATCCGCAAAATTCGGGTCCGCATAGTTCGGGTCCGCAAAATTCGGGTCCGCAAAGTTCGGGTCCGCAAATTAAAATCCGCAAATTTCGGCGCGCCCCTTCCTCTATAAACAAAAGAAATGAAAAATCCGCAAATTTTGTAAAAACTTTTTTTTTAATTTAGAATATAAGAACAAAATTTTTCTAATTTTAGTATTCAACAAATTCAATTATTGGGGCGTAATATGCGAGGTATAAATTTTTTATGACTCATAACTAAAGAAAATATTAAAAAAATAAATTTCAAAAATTTGCGGATTGTCCGCAAAAAATTTGCGGACAATTTTAAAAAAATTTTGCGGACTTTTGAAGAGGACTTCTTTGAGGGCACTTTTCTTAATTTTAAAATTTTCTTTGTTTTTCTAGGTTCTCAATACGATAGTCTTTGGAATCGTTTAGAATCTGAAATTCATTTGAATAGACACAAAACTTTTGTTAAGACTTGCTAGTAAATTAAAAAAAATTTTTTTTTAATTTTTCAAAAAAATTTTCTTTAAGCGTTCCAGACGTCAAAGATTTTTTGAGGCATCAAAAGCCAACAACTTCAAAAAATAAAAATTCTTCTTTTAATTCCAATAAAAAATGCTTGCCAATATTCCCCCTTTTGTCGCCTTGTTCCCCTTCGTCTTCTAATAATTCTAAGACTTCTACGTGCAACAGTTTGTGTGAACAACATTTTGAAAGGGTGAATTTTTTAAATTATTTTTATTTTGTAAATTTAAAAGAATTTTGAAACTTTTTTTTGCGGGCAAGTTTTTGCGACAAAAAAATCCGCAAATTTTTTGCGGACAAAAAAAATCCGTAACTTTTTTGTCCGCAAATTTTTCATACAATTTTTTAAATAAAACAATCCTCTTCTCCTTTTTATTTATCAAAAAAATTTTTTTATATAAATTGGACCTCCCTTTTAAGATAAATTGGAGCAGAAAAATCAGATAAGCCCTGGAAAAAATTATTCTGATACTTGCGGACAAACAGTTGCGGACATTCTCTAACTCCCTTGGAATACTAGCTCTGGAGCGAACATTTTTTATTTATGTTTAGACCAAATTGTTAGGCATTTAGAAAGCTTTTCCTATTTTAATAAATTTCAAATTTTGTCCGCAAATTTTTTTGTCCGCAAATATTATTGTCCGCAAAAATTGTCCGCAAATTTAAAAATCATTTTTAGCCTATCAACAAAACTTTAAAAGAAATTAATTCTTGTTCTCCATCATCTTCTGTCTCATACGAATCGGCTACAGATGAGTGTAACAATAACAGTAATATTAAGCTGTGTTTGGAGGAATCTTTAAATGTTAGAGAGGAAGTTAATGACAAATAATAAATATTTGAGAAAATTAAGATGAGAAATTGTGAGGGTTAATTATTTAAATAAATCTAGGACATAATAATATTTTAATTAAATTATTTTTTTATACTTATTTTTAAAAATTTTTGCCTCTCAATTGTGCCTTATATCTATTTTTGTAATAAAATATATTAAGTATCTTAACAAATGCAAACCAGAGGTGTGTTGGAATTTCGAGTTCCGACGTTTTTTTCCTCCCGATTTCCGAAAAAAATTTTGATTTCCGAGTTCCGATTTTGAGCCAGTTCCGCTTTCCGGCTCTTCCGATTTCTGACACCTCTAACTGTTCCGACCCCCCGACCCCCTCTGATGCAGACTGATCTTTACAGATTCGCATTTGCGGACTAAACTTAGGTACATATTTCAGACAATCATTTCCTTAAATGTCGAAAAACTATTTTCAAAATTCAGAATTAACTAAACGAAGCTTTTACAAGTTTTCAAAATTTCATTAAATTTTTGTTTAAAATCGATTAAAGCTTTAATTTTGGTGTTTTCTAACCTACAAAATTGACCAAAAATTTATTTTAAATAATTTTATTTTACCCAAATTCCCTCCAAGAAAATAAATTTTAGATCTTCAAATATAGCCCCTTTTCTCTTTCTAAAAATGATGAGGACCTCAAGGGAATTTGCTAAAACAACAAACTGGTTGTGAGGAAGGGCCCTCATAAATACACTCAATGGCCCACTTTTCAAGAGTCTTTTCCCTGTTTGATTGGGGTTTGAGGGGTTTTTTTTGGTCTTTTTTAAAATTTCTTTGAAAATATTTTTGGTAATTTTTTATTGAATGTATTTTTTTAATAATCTTTCAATTAATTAAAATTAAATATTTTGCTTGTATTCAGAGGTGGATCGGAATTCCGATTTCCAAGTTCCGACTTTTGAGCCATTTCCGCTTTCAGACACCTCGGACTGTTCCGATCCACCTCTGCTTGTATTAGAATAAGAAGAGAAAGCCAGCTTTGATTAACTATAACTTTTTTAACCTTAATCCAATCCATATAAATTTTATGCCATTTGTAAGCTATCAATAGTCGGTATTTTTTATGACCGGATTGATCAATTTTTTAAAAATTTATTTTTAATTTCTTTTATTTTTTCATTGTTTCTAAAGTTAAAATAATGTTGGAATTATTTTAACCTTATTTTTAGACGCACTCAATACCATATACACCTCAATTTAAATACTTTCGTTAAAATTTGCTTAGCAAATGGGTGCCTCTATTTAAGATACCCCTCATTTTACGGGATAATTTACAGCCTCATACGTTATATTTAAAAACGAATTCACTCCGCTTTTATCCTTTTCTATGACTTTTAAACATATTGGATTTTGGATATTCAACGTAGACCCACATTGTTTTTTAAAAGACACACATATCCATTTTTGTTTATTTTGAAAGAGTTAAAAAGCAACTTCCCTCAATTTTCCTCTTCTTTACTCGTGTGAATTAACACACTATTATTACATTGCTTTTTGGGTTAAAGTCTCACTTTCAAAGAAATATTCTCTTTTTTTAACCCAAAACTGCCAAAAAACTGCCAAAAAATCTCTTTTTGGTTGTTTTTATTCATTGCCTTTCCATTTTTTCTTAATGTCAAGCAACAACTTTCAAAAAAAATTTTTGGAAGGACAAAAGTTAAAAAAAATAGGGAGGGCAGAGTTTGAGTAATTATTCATTTTAAAAGGACAATTGAAAATACACTAGGGATTATTTTCTGTTTATTTCACTGAAAATTTTAATTTTTAATATTATACAGGCATTATTAATGCTTAGAGTTTTTTGACTTTTTTCATTGTTTTGAATAGGGTTGTTCCCCGACGCGGGGGAAGGCCACGGGGAACAATTTTCGGGGAGGGAGCCATGGGGGGACGGGGAAACCTTTTTTACGTGGGGAGACGGAGACGGGGAGTTTTCAAAAAAATCTCTCAAATTTCCCAACTTACGGGGACTGGGAACAACTTTAGTTTTGAAGATCATTAAATTTTGGGCTATTTGCGTAAATTATTCCTTTACAAAACGCTAGGAATTAGAATTAACTTTTCCTCAAAATTTTAGAAAAATTTTTGAATGTTAGAAAATCATTAGGAGAAGGGCAATGTCGCGCTAGATGAAATAATTAATCGTGAGTAATTATTTAAGATAAAATTTTAACATATTTTTTCCTGTGTTTTCAGTTACAGAAAAATTTGTTCATATTTCCTAAGTCAAATTAATCTTTCGATTTTTGTTCAAAAATATTTTTTAATTTATATTTAGTTAATTTATTTTAAGGATATAATTTCAATCGTTTAATTTATTTATTAATATTTTTGCCATAAAAATTTATTATTAAAAAATAAAATGACCATGGAGGATTTATCACCAACAAATTCACATCTTTCAAGAACTACCTTTAGAGATGCTGAAAATAGTTTCAGAAAAGCTTCAACATTCCATTCTAACCTACCTTCTCCCGAATGGTTTGAAACTTTGGAGAATGAATTTGACAAAGCTTTTGTTGATTTGGATGTGCTGATTGGGGAGGTTGAACAGGAAAATGTGAAAAGAATTTTTTGAAAATTTAAAAATTTTAAAATAATTCTTTAGCAGTCCGAATTAATTTTTGAATGCCGTAGGCGTTTAACGCTAATTAGTGGGGTGTTTGCCAAATTTGCTCAAAAAGTTCAAGTTATTTGCCAACAAAATTACGACTTTAAGGTAGTTAAGGGAAGTTACTTTGGAGGTAAAAATTTTCTGGAAAAGGAAATTTTCCAGAAAAATTTCCAATTTTCCAGCCCTAAACACAATCGGAGCTCACTTTTAGCTACTTCTAAAGAGGTGCTTTATAATTTGATGACCGCTGGGCAGAGGCGATGTCTAAGAGATATCCCCAGTTAAGATACCCTTATTATAAAATAGGGACTTCCCTATAGGATACAAGCAAAACTAGCTACACCTTTGTTTAATAAACATGATTTTAAGTTGGTTTGTTATTGGGTAAGGGCATCTCTTCAAGAGATACTCTCAGTTTAGGATACACCTCAATATAAGGTAAAAACTTCTCAACATTAAGTTTGTATCTACGAATGAGCTTCGAGTATTTTTAGTTTATTTTCTGGGTCGGTATGTACTTAGTCTTAAGGTCATTAGTCCTAATATTAGTTTCTGCTCTGATCCATAATCCATTAAATCTCAAATTTCCAAAAATTTCTTTTTAAAGAAAGACCTTCAAAATTCCAACAATAAATTAATTGGAGTATTAGCCACAAATTCATTATTAGAAGAACAGTCAGAACAACTTCTTTTGCGAGTTCATTCACTTTCCTGCCAACTCTACTCAAAAACAGCTCCACACGAATCAGAAATTATTAAAAAGAAATTGGTTGGAAAAATAAATTTTTTTGAAAATTTTTAAAAATTTTTGAAAGGATAAAGAAATGAGAATGTTTAACACAAAAAATTTACCAATTACAAAATCACAAGCTGAAATTTATTTATTAAAAGAAGAAAATCTTAAATTAAAAAGTCTTCTAAATTCGGTTCATTCCGAAATTTATGGAGCTCGTTTAGCTGCAAAATATTTGGATAAAGAATTGGCTGGACGGTGGGAAATTTATTTTAAAATATTTTTTATTAAAAATTTAAATTAATTTTTGGGGACGCGTAAGGGAAAAAATTTTTAAAAATTAAGAAAAAAAATTTTTACGGACAAATTTTTGCGGACAAAACTTGCGGATATTTTAAGAATAAATTTTTATTTCCTATGCCCGATATCCTTCTTTTATTTTTTTAAACATGTTTTAGGATATTATTTAAGAATTAACAGTTTAATAGACAAATTATACGATAACCTTCCTCTATAAACAAAGAAAGGAAAAGTCCGCAAATTTTGCAGCAACTTTTTTCAAATTTAAAATAAACAATTTTTTCTAATTTTAGAATTCAACAAATTCAATTATTGGGGCGTAATATGCGAGGTATTAATTTTTTTGTGACTTGTAACTAAAGAAAAAATTTTAAAATAAATATTTTAAAAAATAATTTTAAAAATTTGCGGATTGTCCGCAAAAAATTTGCGGACAAATTTGAAAAATTTTTGCGGACTTTTGAAGAAGACTTCTTTGAGGACTTCTTAATTTAAAATTTTTTTATTTTTCTAGGTTCTCAATACGATAGTCTTTGGAATCGTTTAGAATCTGAAATTCATTTGAATAGACACAAAACTTTTGTTAAGACTTGCTAGTAAATTATAAAAAATTTCTTTATTTAAAAAAATATTTTTAAGCGTTCCAGAAGTTAAAGAATTTAAGAAACATCAAAAGCCAACAACTTCAAAAAATAAAAATTCTCTCCATTCCAATAAAAAATGCTTGCCATTCCCCCTTATGTCGCCTTGTTCTCCCTCGTCTTCTAATAATTCTGAGACTTCTACGTGCAATAGTTTGTGTGAACAGCATTTTGAAAGGGTGAATTTTTTAAATTATTTAAAAAATTTTCTAAAATTAAAAGAATTTTTTTAAAAAATTTTGCGGACAAGTTTTGCGGACAAAAAAAATCCGCAAATTTTTTGCGGACAAAAAAAAATCCGCAACTTTTTTGTCCGCAAATTTTTCATACAATTTTTTTTAAATAAAACAATCCTCTTCTCCTTCTTATTATCAAAAAAATTTGTTTTTAAATAAAATCGGGCCTCCCTTTAAGATACCTAATAGGGTTGGACGAGACCGTTTAATTCGAGGTTTATTTTTCCCTGTGGCTGACTTTTCCTTTCTCTCTTCTCTTTTTGACCAGAAACAGGGAACAATAATCGAGGTTATTAAACGGTCTCGTCCAACCCTAATACCTAAATTGGAGTGGTAAAATCAGACAGGCTCAGAAAAAAATTATTTTGATACTTGCGGATAAACAGTTGCGGACTTCCGCTCCTCCCTTGGAATGCTAACTTTGGTTACTACCTTTTTTATTTATGTTTAGACCAAATTAAAAGACATTTAGAGAGCTTTTTTCATATTTTAATAAATTTCAAATTTTGTCCGCAAAAAGTGTCCGCAAATTTAAATATCATTTTTAGCCGATCAACAAAACTTTAACTAATAATAATATTTGTTCTCCATCATCTTCTGTCTCTTACGAATCGGCTACAGATGAGTGTAATAATAACAGTAATATTAAGCTGTGTTTGGAGGAATCTTTAAATGTTAGAGAGGAAGTTAATGACAAATAATTAGGGTAAATAGGAAGTAGGGGAAATTATTTAAAAATAATTTAGTGACCTTATAGTATATTCGATAATAATTAATTTTTATATTTATTTTTTGTTTTTTAAATTATTTTTAATTTTTCTGCCTTTTAATTGTGCCACTTATTATTATAATAAAATATTATTTTGCGGGATTTTGGTGGGTTTTTCATCTTTTAATCACCCAACTAGCATTAAAAAAAATTCTAGAGGTTCATAATTCACCATATTTTTATTTTACAAATTTGAATATTCTAAAAGCAAAAACAAGTCAGTTATCGACAAATAGAGTCGAACCGGAGACCTCCAAAATTTGTTATGTAGTTCTCCGGTAACTCCTGTAAACCACTTAACCATGGAGTCCCACTATACTATGTGTTAGAGCCTGGACCGATACGATATTTTTTGATATTCGGTTTCGATATTTATCGAAAAATACAGACCGACCTCTCCGTCTGGGCTCTACTATGGGGACCAAATCCGTGCCGGACAAAGCTTCTACATGTTTTACCCAGGGAAATCAACGCTTTTGTTTAAATAAGTTGATAAAAATAAGCCTGTCTCTAGTCCCTTCTAGGAATTCTTCCAATGATTTTCCAGTTTACAAAATTTATTTTAAAATTTGCTAAAAAATTATTTTAAAAATTAAAAAAAATTTATTTTAATTTTAAAATAATTGTCTTTACCCAAATTCTTCCAAGAAAATAAATTTTAGATCTTCAAATAAAGCTTTCGTCCCTCTTTCCAAGAAAAAAATGATGAGGACCTCAAGGGAATTTCTTAAAACAACAGACTGGTTGTGAGGAAGGGCACTCATAAATACACTCAATGGCCCACTTTTCAAGAGTCTTTTCCTTTTTGATTGGCCTTTTTTAATTTTTTTTTAAATATTTTTGGTAATTTTTATTGAATATTTTTTATCTCAATTTATTAAAAATAAATGTCTTGTGTCTTTGTAAAGTAAACCTCTATTTAATGCACCCCCTCTATAAGGGACAACTTTTCTATAAGACATCCCTATTTTTTACAGTCTCATATCTTGTATTTAAAAAGAGTTGCTTCGCTTTTATTTTTCTCTATGACATTTAAATAGGGTAGCACCCCGTCCCCGACAAATTTTTAGACAAAAGGTCCCAACTCGAACCCTGAAGACTATCCCGTCAACCCACGATCCCCGACACCCACCCCCGTGTGGGCAAAACCCCGACCCGACCTTCGAAACCCCGCCCTCGAAACCCCGACCCCAACGTTTTCGTCCCCGAAGATCGGGGCGCTACCTTACTTTTACACATATTGGATTTTGATATGCACCATAAAACATCTACATATATTGTTTTTTAAAAACAAACATATCCATTTTTGTTTATTTTAAAAGAGTTAAAAAGCAACTTCCCTCATTTTCCTCCTCTTTACTCGTGTGAATTAACACACTATTATTACATTGCTTTTTGGGTTAAAGTCTCACTTTCAAAGAAATATTCTCTTTTTTTAACCCAAAACTGCCAAAAAACTGCCAAAAAATCTCTTTTTGGTTGTTTTTATTCATTGCCTTTCCATTTTTTCTTAATGTCAAGCAACAACTTTCAAAAAAAATTTTTGGAAGGACAAAAGTTAAAAAAAATAGGGAGGGCAGAGTTTGAGTAATTATTCATTTTAAAAGGACAATTGAAAATACACTAGGGATTATTTTCTGTTTATTTCACTGAAAATTTTAATTTTTAATATTATACAGGCATTATTAATGCTTAGAGTTTTTTGACTTTTTTCATTGTTTTGAATAGGGTTGTTCCCCGACGCGGGGGAAGGCCACGGGGAACAATTTTCGGGGAGGGAGCCATGGGGGGACGGGGAAACCTTTTTTACGTGGGGAGACGGAGACGGGGAGTTTTCAAAAAAATCTCTCAAATTTCCCAACTTACGGGGACTGGGAACAACTTTAGTTTTGAAGATCATTAAATTTTGGGCTATTTGCGTAAATTATTCCTTTACAAAACGCTAGGAATTAGAATTAACTTTTCCTCAAAATTTTAGAAAAATTTTTGAATGTTAGAAAATCATTAGGAGAAGGGCAATGTCGCGCTAGATGAAATAATTAATCAGGAGTAATTATTCGAGATAAAAATTTTAACATATTTTTTCCTGTGTTTTCAGTTCTTGAGAAATTTGTTCATTATCTTTCGATTTTTATCCAAAAATATTTTTTAATTTATATTTAGTTAATTTATTTTTAAAGATATAATCTTGATCGTTTCTTATTAATTAATTTATTAATATTTTTGTTATAAAAATTTATTATTTTAAAAATACAATGACCATGGAGGATTTATCACCCACAAATTCACATCTTTCAAGAACTACCTTTAGAGATGCTGAAAATAGTTTCAGAAAAGCTTCAACATTCCATTCTAACCTACCTTCCCCTGAATGGTTTGAAACTTTGGAGAATGAATTTGACAAAGCTTTTGTTGATTTGGATGTTTTGATTGGGGAAGTTGAACAGGAAAATGTGAAAAGAATTTTTTGAAAATTTTTAAAATTTCAAAATAATTCTTTAGCAGTCCGAATTAATTTTTGAATGCCGTAGGCGTCTAACGCTAATTAGTGGGGTGTTTGCCAAATTTGCTCAAAAAGTTCAAGTAATTTGCCAACAAAATTATGACCTTAAGGTAATCAAGGGAATTTACTTGGAGGTAAACATTGTCTGGAAAAAGGCACTTCGACCTATGTAAACTAAATCAGATCTTACTTTTAGCTATTACTAGGGAGGTGCTTTATAATTTTGATTGGCCGCTGGGCAGAGGCGATGTTATACCCTCAGTTAAGATACCATTATTATAAGATAAGGACTTCCCGATGAGATACACTACTATTTAATAAACATGTTTTTAAGTTAGTTGGTCACTGGGTAAGGGCAGCTGTTCAAGAGATACTCTCAATTTAAGATACGCCTCAATATAAGTTTCAAATTTCTCAACCTCTAGTTTGTATCTAATAATGAGCTTCGAGTATATTTAGTTTATTTTCTGGGTAAGTATGTAGTTTAGTCTTAAGGTGATTAGACCTACTATTAGTTCATCCTCTCATCCACAATCCATTAAAGCTTAAAATTTCCAAAAATTTCTTTTTAAAGAAAGATCTTCAAAATTCCAACAATAAATTAATTGGAGTATTAGCCACAAAATCATTATTAGAAGAACAATCAGAACAACTTCTTTTGCGTGTTCATTCACTTTCATGTCAACTTTACTCAAAAACAGCTCCACACGAATCAGAAATTATTAAAAAGAAATTGGTTGGAAAAAAATAAATTTTTGAAAAATTTTTTTAAAAATTTTTGAAAGGATAAAGAAATGAGAATGTTTAACTCAAAAAATTTACCAATTACAAAATCACAAGCTGAAATTTCTTTATTAAAAGAAGAAAATCTTAAATTAAAAAGTCTTCTAAATTCGGTACATAGCGAAATTTATGGAGCTCGTTTAGCTGCAAAATATTTGGATAAAGAATTGGCTGGACGGATTCAGCAAATTCAATTGCTTGGTCGCAATATGCGAGGTACTCTAAACATTTTAGAGACTTTAAACCAGGGGTATCTAATTCAGAGCTTGTCGGGCTAACTCAAGGGCATATCCTTGCTTATCTTTTCCTTGAGTAGGTATGGTCCGTGTTTGGTCGTTCCTTGATTTGTCTTTTTCTTGACTTGTTTGTTTCGTGATTTGGAATTCCTTGAGTTGCCCCTCACCCAATTCTGAGGGTATTAACATGTTCTGAGGATATTTATGAATGAAGGCCGATCTCATTTTGTTAAGATAGGCAATTCTTTATTAATTCAATCTAGTTTCCTTCGAACACGATCAGGATGGCCGGCTTCTAATGAGATCACGGATTGAAAAAAAGATTACGCAACTAGCATTCCGAAATTGCATGCAGCCATTAATAAGATAGGACCGAGACGAGATCTCAAACAACATCTCATTTATCAGGATAAATATTTTTCGAGTATTTAACTCGGTCCTCATTAGGATAAAGTCTTTGCCTCACTCACATGATTAGTTCATTATGAGTTTTTTATAGGAGCTCAACATGATCGTTTATGGAATCAATTAGAAGCTGAGATTCATCTTAATAGGCACAAAACAGTTATTAAAGCTTGTCGGTATTTATAAAAATATTTTTATATTTACCTGGATATTTAAGTGTGCTCGATGCAAACAACATGGTGAGACGGAAAAAAACAAATGAGGTACCTAAGACCGGACCTTTCATTTTCCAAATATTTTTTAGAACTCCAAAGCCTCTCCTTCCGTCTATTTTGACAAAAGGGGTGTCGGAAAGACACGTCGCATTCATCTCCATTTGGAAGATAACGAAGGCCTGGGTATTTCTATTACGGGAGGAAAGGAGCATGGAGTCCCTATTATTATTTCTGAATTGCATTCTGGTCAGACTGCAGAATCAAGTGGAAATTTGTTTGTTGGAGATGCTATACTTTCTGTAAATGGGAAAAGTCTAAATAATTTGAAGCATTCACAAGCTGTGAAAATTTTAAATAATGAGGTGATTTTGAAATTGAACGTTTATTTGGGTAGCCGACATTTGTGACTGACATTTTCAAACAAAAATAGACCATAGCTAACTTGGAATAGATGACCGTATAATTTTATATAGTGTTCGGTACGGTCTTGCCGACTCCCATGGGTTTGGTTGACCATTTTGAACCTCTTTTGATATTGCTAATAAATGGGGTGTGTACTAAGACTTGGTAGTTCACTGGTACTTTTCAGTACTATGGAACCATACCAATCAGATTTTGAAAAATTCCGGCACCAGTCGGAACCCTTCATTTGCCGAACACTAGATTCATCGTGTATCTTAGCCCACCATATCTAACTATTTTTGTGGTATAGTACTCCTCACAAGCAATATAATAGAATAATTTTTTAAATCCTTTCTCTCAAAGATGAGGGAATGCAATGAAATCTTGCTTGAAGTGATTTTAATAAAACCTGATTTTGACAGCGATGATGGGCTAGACGATATTACAGAAACTCTAAGGTAAAGCTTATTAATTATAAATTAGGAAAACTAGCAGTAGCTTCCTTTTTTTAAATTAATTTTATAGTTTGAAAGGTGATCAACTAGATGAAGATAATATTAAATCTAATAAAAAACATAACTTAACAACGAGCTTCAATTCACCTTCATCTTCCTCCTCTAATTTCATTAAATGCAATAATTTTTGTGAAAAGAAATCTCAGGTCAATATTAAATTAAATTTTGACAGTAAGAGAAATAATTATGAAAAGTATTCTAATATAGGACCTGCTAACCATAATCAGTAAATTTTATAAGCTAGTGAAAGACTCCTAGAGGGAGAGTAGACAATAGAGAACGCATTGAGGCCAATCAAATGAGACAGTCATCTCTCAAATACCCTTATCACTCATTTAATCGCTCTAGATTTGTAAGATACCATATATCCTTTAATAACTACTCTGGGTAATTATTGTTTCGACCTTCCGCTGGAGGGAGTAATAATTCGAGGGAGGGTAATTATACGAGGTTTGAAATTACAATGTGTTTTAGGGCATTTGTTGAGGGGTAATTATTGTTTCAATCTATCGCTGGATGGGGTAATTAATGGAAAAGGGGTAGTTATTTGAGGGCGGGCATTTAATATAGGTTATACGGTAATTAATATTTATCTGTCATTTGCCACCGATTCTCACCCCACGATTTAGGCTCTATTATACGACTAGGGATGGTGTTCGGACACTTCCCTGATACCTCCTAAAAATTTAATTTTAGCAATCCAAAACAAAATTTCAACAATCATCATGCTCGGTTTCATCATTATCTTGTGATTCATCAACATATGAATCTGCTAGTGGTGAATGTACTAGTGACGTTAAACTTAACCAAACTGGATTTTTAATTGAAGAATTAAAAGTTAATGATAAAAATATGTCATTATCTAAGGTTGATAATTATAATGATGCTTTTGTTTAAATTTTTAATTTAATTTTATGTATGTATGTATCTATTAATTGAACTTCAGAAAAATTTTTTTCATAATTAATCAGAGATTCCTGAGTGAATAGACTAACCTTTACTTATTAAGTGGGACAATGTCAGTCGGACAATGTCATTTTTAATAAAAATATTTTGAATGTTTTCTATCTTATTGAATCAGAATAGGTCAGAATCTGAGTTCAAAAAATGGAGATATAATAATATCCTATAGATATCCCTAGGTCCGAAAAAATTTTTAAATGTTGTCAATTTCGGACCTAGGGATATCTATAAAATACTATCATAACTCCTTTTTTGAACTCAGCATAGGTCAAAACCTATTCTGATTTAAAAAGATGAAAACTCTCAAAAAATTGTTTCCGAAAAATAAGAAATTTCTTTTGAGTTAAAAGACTAACATTCCCTTATTGAGTGAGACAATGCCATTTTAAGCTTGTTTATAGATCCAGCACTTTAGTTATTATAATTAATATAATATTATTTTTAATATAAATTATAATAATTTTTTTTATATTAGTCTTAATTAAATCATGTAGCCTCAATAATTAAAATAACACAACTTTCTAACTAATTTATCACAAGAGTAGTTTAAATGACAGCAAAAATGTGTAAATTAAAAGAGAATAAGAATTCAGAAAATTAAAAACTAATACAAATTGTGCTAGAAAGAATAAAAATTATAGTGACATTGGAACTTGTTTACTCTAGATTAGTTCATGACTTTCACCAGGAGTGGGCCGTGAACGTTAAACCAAGAATTTTACGTGTTACCAATCAAATAAAAATTTAAAAAGTATAGAAAGATGACAGAATGTTAAAAGATTGAAATGAAATTTGTATTATGACAAAACTTTAAAAATGGGCATAGTAAATGTAAAAATAACCCCTTGGTAGTTAACTTGCCGGTTATACTATACTTGCTCTGACTAGAGAGGTTCTAATAAGAATAAGGGGAATAAAAGTTCCTTAACAAAAAATCCCTAATTGACTTTAGAAGTTTTTCCAGTTTTTATTTCAAATTTTGCTTGTAAAACTGAACTATTCGCTGAAGTAGCTAATTGTATCCATAGCTAAACCTAACCATAGCGAAACCTACCTACTATATTTATTTAAGTTTTGTCATAATTTTGGAAAAAGTCAGCAATATCTAGAGTTAAGATCGGGACCGGATACGGGTCGGGATTTTTGGGATCCGGTATTCCTGATACGAGTATTTTGATAAAAATCGGGGATTTCGGGATTTTGATCCCGAAAATCCGGTCCGGATAAAAAATTCAGAACTCTAGTAATATCTACTCTTGTCGTTTTGTTTCCAAGCTAGCATAACTCATCAAATATGTTTCTCGCATCCTGGTGTATACCTTTATTAAATATATAAATTAATATAAAAGTATCTTAATATTTTGGTTCCTACTTCAATTGCCTGAACCAGATCCACGATGTCCAGCTCCGAGACGCTGTCCACGATGGCTCTGAGCAGGTTGCCATTGTACACGATGGCTCTGATCAGGTTGCCCTTGTCCATGATGGCCTTGTTCGGTTGTTCCCGCACCTATAATAAATATGTTAATCAAAAAAATAATTTTTTAAATTCTGGTTTATTAAAAAACAATTGGTTCTGCTCGTTATATAATAAAACTGCCATATATAGACATATCACAATTAAAATGTAAATCTATTTTTAATTTAAACTTCCGGTTGAGGATTGCACTGGAATATAGTACATTAAAGTCAATTACCGAAATTTCTATTGACATAGTTATATAATCCTTGCATTTTTTCTAAAGCTTCGTTTTGATTTCTTTTGCACCCACGAAGAACCTTTTCATATTGCTCTATTTCTTTTTGAATCATGTCTGTGTCGTAGTCAGGATTGTTCTAACAAAATAGAAATTAAACTTATATAAGTAATTGGATAAAATCATTTTCATCACTCTATTATTTAGTTAAATCTCGGCTTTTTCAACTCTCGATAAGGAAAGTTTAAATGTTTATATAGTACATAATAACAATTTTCATTGCCAAATAAAATATGTTTTATGTAAAAAATGTTATTTTTACTTGATTTTGTTTTAGTCCATTTTTACAATGATTTAAATAGAGTTCGTGGTTATCGTATTCCGTTGAAAAATACTCATATTGTTTTACATGATCTCCATATTGTTCTTTAAAAATGGCGTGTTGCGAGGGTGAAATGTCTTTTATAGTTAAATAAAATATTTTTATAAATTTAAATAAAATTACCAACACGTTCAAGCAAAGAACTAATTTGTGCCTTCAAGTGATTGAAAGCCTAATAAAAATATTTATATATTTGTTTTTACAATAATGATACTAACCATATGTTTTGCTGGTTCTTGCAATCCTGAGCCTTCTCCTGGATTCATTCCAAACAGTAATGGAAACAATTGAAGAAAATAAAAATTTAAAAGAATTAAATTGTAAATTTTCATCTTTAATTATATTTTAAAATTTATGTAAATTAATTTCGATTTAAAATATATTTTTTATACTTGTGTTTTTATATTTAAATGTTCAGATTTAAGTTTGCTATATCGAATTTAAATATATGTAGCACTAATAAAATCTTTAGTTTTAATTAAAATAATCTCTTTAATTTTAATATAAACAATATGTTGTATTCTTTGACAGGCTTGGTTGTCTAAGCTTGTCTTAGTATTCTTACTGAGGAAAAATTGCAGAGAATTAAACACTGTTTGTTAGTCTGGAAAGAAGATTAATAGGCTGCTCGAATGTTTATTGAGGAATAAATCTCTCCTTTTATCACAATCAGCTGCGCGCGTCAACACTGCTCATTTTTAATTTTTAACCCTATAAATCGAAATTTCGAAAAAATTGAATCGAAATTTCGAATTTATATCTTAGAGCAAATAGACTCATGATTAATTGTTCTCTCCTCTGTAAAAAAATTTAAAAATTTATTTAAGTAGTTTGTATTAAAGGGCATTCTTAGCCTTTCCTTTTTTACTGTCTATTTCCGCTGTTTAATTTATTAATGTATATTTTGCAAAAAATATTTTAAAATTAAAATTTATTATTTAATTAATTTTGAATAATATTTCCATTAATCATGTACAAAGTTTAATAAACAGAAATAGCTATACAGGGTGCGTAAAAAGTTCCCGGAATTAATCAAAACGGATTTATTTTCTCTTATATCAAAATAAAAATAAGTTTACACATATAAAACGTTTATAAGAATCTTGTAAATAAATGATCATAACAAATTTTCAAAATGAGATCCGGCCGATGAGATACACGCATCCAAACGCTTCCGAAAAATACCTTCTATGGTCGCGCAACCCTCTTCTGTTATTGATGCCTAGGAATATTCTAATACCTCCCTAAGTGCCTCTGTTTATGTGTATCGTGTTCAGGGGAGTCTCTGCTCCAGCATAGACCAGACCGAAAATCCATTGGTTTGAGGTCTGGTGAGTTACTTAAACTTTTATTAAGAACCTGATATTCGAGTATATTCATTTATTAAAGTGCAATCAGTCAATATTATGAAATTTAAAATTATTAAAGTAAACACTCTAGTAGCTCTA